TGATGCTGTGGCTCAAGTGGTAGAGTGCTAGCCTTGAGCTGAAGAGCTGAGGGACAGCACCCAGGCCCAGAGTTCAGGCCCCACGACCGGACCCCCAAAAAAAAAAAAAGAGCTCAGGGACAGCACCCAGGTCTTGAGTTCAAGATCCATGACCAACAAAATAAACCCTTGTCACTTGAGTACTTACCCTTTCCTGGGCACAATGCTATGTCGGCCTCTTTAACTCTCTCAACCCCCTGGGAAGGGGCCACCCCCCCCTCCCTCACCCCAGACTTGGAGTTGTCCCTTCAGGAGGAAGATAACCAGAGCCAAACAGGCCTGGCAGGACTAACTGGCCTCTCTGGTGCCGTGGTCCCCATAGAGACAGGCAGTGCCCAGGGTCTATGTCCCAGTGCGACACAGCCCTCCCCACCAAGCTGGGGCTGGCAGAGGCTGAGAGTGGTTTCTGGGGAGGAATTCTGCAGCGGGCGGCGGCGGCGGTGGCGGCCCGGGGCTTGTCTAGGAGACTTGGCAATTTTAGAAAGCTGCCAGCCCTTCCTCCAGGAGCCGGGCTCTGGTCACTCACGGTTGGCACCATGGGATGTTCAAGCTGGTGCCTACACCCAAGTCCCGCAACCTCTCTGAGCCTTCCTGTACTCAAATACGAAATGGGACCTGAGAGAGGGGGACCTGGGTTTGGGGGGATTCTAGCCCACCTACCTCATTTCCTACCTGCCCTCCTCCCTCCCCTTCTTCCTTCTCTCCTTCCTTCTCTACCTCCCAACACCCTGCTTCCCCTTCCCCTCTTTCCATCTCTTTCCTCCTCCTTCCCTTCTTCCTTTCCTTCCTGCCTCCCTCTCCTCTCCTCGCAGACAGGACAGGACAGGACCGGAGGCCCGGGCTACTGAGGGCTTCGGGAGCTGGTGGCGGGCGCCCCCTGGTGGTTATTTGAATATCCACCATCAGTGCTGTGGAATTACTGGTGGGGGGGGTGGATAGGGAGGTAGTGGGAGGGGGGATAGTGGGGGGGGTCCCCCTCCTCCAGGTAGAAACCCAGACCTGTGCGATCCATGGCATCCAGAAGCCCTCAGGGAGATGGGGACAGAGCCTCGGAGATCAGCTCAGAGTCCCCCAGTCCTTCAGCCCCCCGGTCTGCGACCCCATTGTGGGTCCTTAGGCTCCTTATAAAAATGATTCTCACAGCCGGGCGCCGGTACTCACGCCTGTCATCCCAGCTACTCAGGAGGCTGAGATCTGAGGATCGCTGTTCAAAGCTAGCCCAGGCAGGAAAGTCCGTGAGACTTTTTTTTTTTTTTTTTTTTTTTGGTCAGTCGTGGGGCTTGAACTCTGGGCCTGGGCGCTGTCCCTCAGCTCTTCAGCTCAAAGCGAGCGCTCTACCACTTGAGCTACAGCGCCACTTCCGGTTTTCTGGTGGTTTATTGGAGATAGGAGTCTCACGATCCCTCCTGCCCAGGCTGGCTTTGAACCACGATCCTCAGATCTCAGCCTCCTGAGTAGCTAGGATTACAGGCGTGAGCCACCAGCACCCGGCCTGTGAGACTCTTATCTCTAATAAACCACCAGAAAACTAGAAGTGGTGCTGTGGCTCAAGCAGTAGAGCGCTCACCTTGAGCTGAAAGACAGCGCCCAGGCCCAGAGTTCAAGCCCCATGACCGACAAAAATAATAATCATAATTCTCACTCAGTCTCCTTTTGGAACTCCAATGGAAGGCCGGACAGGAGCCTAAGAGCAAAAGAGCCTTTACCCTCTCCCAGTGGGAGGTATTTTCTAGAAGAGGTGAATTTTATTCCTCTCCAGACAAGGCCTGCTTCCGGCCTTCGGAGGCAAGCAGCGGGCTCTTGGTAGAACGTCCAGTCTGCCGCGCTCACCCTTAAGCATCAGTTCTCTGCTCTGACCCTGGAAGGATGGATGTGGTTTTGGGGGTGAAGTCATGCCAACGCCTGGTGTGTGTTACCTAAGTAGGGGCCAGCAGCCCTGCTTTTCCAGGGGGGTGGGGGGCTAAAGAACCTCTCCCGGTGCGGGTCTGGAGGCGCTAACATCGGAGGGTCCTGGCCAGCTGGACGGCTGAACTCAGGAGTCAGCACTCCACCCAGCCTGTTTGTCAATAAAGTTTTATTAGAACACAGCCGCGCCCGTTTGTTGATCCAGGGCGCTGAGAATAAAGGGTGGGAAGTCAGAACACCAACGACATGTTACACACAGCCTGGAAAATTTACTGTCTTGCCCTTTGAGAAGAAGTTGGCCCCTTAAACCCCCCCCCCCGGTGGGATGGGGGAGTGCTGTTAGTGGGGGGGGGCAGCAAGGAAGGAGAGGCCTGGACACAGACAGGTGTGTTTGTCTACACTGGGGAATCTGATTCTACCGCCCAGAGCTGGGTCATGGGGTGGGGGGGTGGAGGGGGGGCTGAACAAAGTCCTCCGTTTCCCCCCCACCCCACCCTGCGTGGCAGCATCAACCTAGCCGCCCATTTGAAGGGCCGAGGCTACGGGCAATCAGCTCAGGGATGATGAACTCAGGGAGGGCTGCCTGAAGGAGGCAACCTTGACTCCGTGAAGGACTTGACATTTTCCACCGTGGTAGATTCCATCTGGGCTCCACAGGCAGCCCTAGAGGCTGCAGTCCTTTCTCCAGCTTAGTAGCATTTGCTAGCGAGACAGCCATGGCCAGAGACTCCTCCACCTTCTTCAGGGGTTCTTACCTTGCAAACTCACAACAAAGGGCAAGTGGGAAGAACTTTACTCAGGAGAGAAGCGACCCAGTTAAAGGCAGCAGCTGCTCTGCCTTCTGAGGGCGGAGTCTAGGAGGGTTTTATACCGTGGGCTGTGTGCTGATTCGCCACACCCTATGTAAACCAACCAATCAGAGCAGACCTGCTGACTCCTACACCTTGAGGCTGCAGCCTGCAATGGGCCTGCCTTTGACGCCCCCCACCCCCCAGGCACACACCTGACCATTATGCAAAACTAGGAAAGATGGAGATGGAAGTGGGATTATTTTTAGTCTTCTGTTTTCTGGAGTTTGGTCTTCTTAAGCCAGCAATGCTTTCTGCGGGCTGGGGTGCTGAGGGCGGGGTCTTGCACCTGCAATCCTAACTCCGCAGGAAGCTGAGATCTGAGGGTCAAGGTTCGAAGCCAGCCCAGACAGGAAGTCTGAGAGCCTCTTATCCCAGAAAAAGCCGGAAGTGGCTCAAGAAGTAGAGCACTAGCCTTGAGCGCAGAGAGGCTCAGGGATGGCCCCAGGCCCTGAGTTCAAGCCTTGGGACTGGCAAAATAATAATAATAAAAATAAAAAGTTCTGCAGGGGGCCCTGGGCTCTGACGAATCTCCTGAACGAATCTGTTGCCCTTCTTCACGAAGTCTACCCGCTCATAGAGTTCTAAACGCCTTTGCTGCCGCTTTGCCTGGGCGACTGGGAGGTTGTGCGGCGTATAAGGCCAGGGTCCCCAAGGGCCGGATGGGGTCACTCTGCCACCAGATGGACGCTGATCCCAAAAGAGGGTCTCCCCTAAACCCACCCGCCCCTCCCAGGCAGGGGTCTCATCCTGGGCCACCCAGAGAGGTGCCAGGAGGACCCCAGCTGTCCCTTGGGGGGGTAAGGGAGCAGGACACGGCCACCTGTCCACGTGACCCTTCCTTCCTGCTGAGTGACCTGGACAAGGAGGGAAGTGGGCAGGCGTGGGGTGCACGAGGGAGACCAGAGACACAAGCAAGGAGAGGGCCTGTCCAGGCAACATGGCGCCTGCCAGGGTCCTTGGCCTGCAGGCCCAGGGGCGGGAGGGAGGAGGAGGTAGCTCTGCCGGCCAGTCCCACATGGCTGCAAGACCCTTGTCTCTGCTTAGGGCAGCCAAGGACCCCGGGGAGAGGGAGGGGGTCCATCCGAGAAGCCCAGACCTGTGGCCTTGCACCGCTGCGGCCGGGCCACAGGGGGCGCCCGCGGGCGGAGGAGCAGGGGGGCTACGGGAGGAAGCTGTGCAGGGTGAGGTTATCGCCGTCGTGGTCCTCTAGGGGCTCCGCCTTCCCGCACTGGCCCCTGGGCAGCCCCCCATTGGCCACGGCGGGGGCCCCCTCGCCCGCGTCGGGCAGCAGGGACGAGATGCAGACCATCTCGGTGGGGGAGTAGCTGCGCACGGGGTACGTGTGGCTCCGGCGGGAGAGGCGGACGGCCAGCACCACGGTGCACACGAGGAAGACGGTGGCCACCAGGGCCAGGATGAGGATGGCCAGCAGGCACTGTCTGACGGGGATGCGCTCCAAGGCCCCCGTGGGACTGGGGGCCACGGAGCTCACCGCGGGGACCCCCTGCCCGGCCTTCCAGTCTGTGCCGGGTGAGCTGCTGGCAGCCTCCAGCGTGTTCTGGGGTGCGTCTTTCCCCCTGAAGACGGCGGCGAGAGTGGCAGGGGGTTCTGTGGACTGAGACTTCGTGGTGCCGGGCTCTGTGGACAGGGCCACTGTGGAAGGGGCTTCTGTGGACACAGCCTCTGTGCCCATGGGCTTCGTGGTCAGCACCTCTGTGGCCGGTGGCCGTGTGATCTTTGCCTCCGTGGCCACTGGTGGGGCGGCCTCTGCCCCCGTGGCTGCCGTGTGCGTGGCCTTGGCTTCCGTGGCTGCAGGTTGCATCGTCTCTGCCTCTGTGGCTGCTGGTGGCATGGTCTGTGCTTCCGTGGATGCTGGTTGTATGGTCTCTGTCTCGGTGGCTGTGGGTCCCGTGGACAAGATTTCGTCTGTGGTTGGAGCCACCACGGTGGAAACAGTTGCAGATGTCAGTTCCGTGGCCCAGCCCGCTGAGACTGGTCCCCACTGTGTCCCGCCTGCACTGTGCCCTGCACGGGGGCTCACAGACCCCCCAGTGGCAGCATCCACGGTGGCTGGATCAGGGGTTCCGGGTCCTGCAGAAGCCCCTTGTCCCAGCGTGGTTGTGGCAGTCAGAGGCTCAGTGTCTGCCCCCAGGACCCTGGTGTGGTTGCCCAGTGTTTCCGGTGGGTCCGTGTCTACCGGGAAATAATCCTCATCCTGTTCTTCGTCCAGGGCCACCTGTCTCCGGATGCGGGCAGGGACGGGGCCCGGGGCTGCCTTGGCTCCATTCCTCCAGGGGTCCCCCAGAGGGAGGCCGCAGCCCGGGCCCAGCAACGCCAGCAGCAGCAGGAGCTGTGGAAGCATCGTACCTGAGGGACACAGGGACAGCATCACCCTGGGCCCAACCCAGGACCTCATGGCCACCCAGGTCTGGCATGGGGTGGGTATTAGGGCTTGAGCCATGCCCGTGGACCCGGCACATGCCTGGCCAGCCCCTCTGTGGGCGGCAGCTGTTGTTTATTTTT